GTCTGAATGGATCAATATCTTTAATCAGATCAGCACTATACCAGTATTCACATTAGTATAGTGTCCCCAAAAACATAGCGTTAGTGGGATCAGCCCCGGCACCTGCCAGCACCTGCGTTTAGCCCCTACGCTTACCCGACTCCCTTCTTCCCCAGAAAGTGCAGTGTCAGTAGGTCACTGTCACTTGATACATTGCACACAAAACCGCAGTGTTCGCAGAATCAGGCCTGATCTCTGTTAGCACTTGCCGGTAAATTTTGATGACTCTCATATGCAGCAGATGGCCAGTACTAGTGCCACACTAACTTTTGGTGAACTGGCAAGCAACAGTGGCCTAGTACATCCTGGTCTTTCACATACGAGCACTGCAGTATCACTTGGTGACGTGGCAGGTCCCATAAGTGGAGTACAAACTGGTGCGGTGGGTGAGCACAAGTATTGTCCCACCAAGAATTCGCACACAGGCCCATAAAGCCCATAGTATCCTTCCGAATGTGCTTGCAAGTCCTGATTGGCAGCCCACAAATTCTGCAGCACCCATACTTCCCCCATTCACTGCCAAACCTGGAATTCAGGTGGAAACAGCAAATTTAACTACTCCCCTTGATTTTTTGTAGCTGTTTTTCATGGAATATTTGTATGCATTGATTGTGGATACAGAATTTATATGCACAACAATTTATCGCCGCCAACCCAAATTCAAACCTTGCCAGGCCATTCGCATGGAAACCCATTACGGTTTCCGAATTTAAATTTTTTTTTAGACCTTACCCTCAAACATGAATTGCGGTTGTATTGGTCCACAGACCCGATTCATCATATCTCGTGTTCTCTGCTGCCATGGCCAGGCATAGATATGAGAGTATAATGTGTTTTATGCATTTCAACAACAATACACTCTGTCGTCCTCGAGGTGACCCTGGATTTGACCGGCTCCACAAAATTCAGCCCCTCGTAAATCACCTTAACCAAAAATTTGCAGATGTGTATACTCCCCAGCAAAAAATCTGCATTGATGAGTCCCTCATTAATTTTTCTGGCCGCCTTGCATTCAAACAATTTCTCCCCAGCAAGCGTGCCAGATATGGGGTCAAGATGTAGAAGACCTGTGAGAGGGCAACAGGCTATACTTATAAGTTTCGGATTTACGAGAGAAAAGATAGTCATATGGAACCCCCGGGATGCCCAGGCTACGCCACAATCGTTCCAGCGCACGACTATGTCGTTTAAGATTTCTGGTGTCGTCAGTCTGCCAAGGTTGTAACGGTCGGGGCCTGATGCATCGTGTTGTTAGAGGAGCAAGTGAGTCTAATGTGGATGAAAGCGAACTGTTGTAGACAGCAGTGGCCAGGTCAGGGCAGGACAGGGGAGAGATTCTGTCATAGAGTTGGTCAGTTGCAGAGTGGAAAGGAGCAGGGTTCAAGTTGTGAAGGTTTCTGCAGGTAATTGTTTGCTGCTTGGAGGGATAGATGTTTGAAGACGAGGAGACTGTGAAGCTGATGAGATTGTGAGCAGAGAGAGGAAAGGGGGTTTTTGTGAGGTTGTACGGAGTGCAAAGATGGGAGAAAACAAGGTCTAATGTATTCCCATCAGAGTGAGTGTAGGACTGTATACATTGTGCTAATGCAAAAGATGAGGTTAGGTTGAAGAGTTGGAATGTGGCCAGGTTGTTGACATTAATAGGGATGTTAAAATCTCCGAGAATGATAGTAGGTAGTTCAGAGGAGAGAAAGAAGGGTAGCCAGGCGGAAAAATCATCAAGAAAAGCGGGGACACCGGTCCAGGAGGCCGATAGATCACTGCAAAGCCTCAGAGAAATGGGAGAAAACAGCTGGATGCAGTGAGTTTCGAAAGAAGAGAAGGATAGAGAGGGAGGGTTATGGCAAATATCCAGTTTTATATGCTCTGGCCTAAGCTCGGCCTGGTGGTGTTCTACTTTCCTGGGTGTTGGTGGGCTTTGTGATTCTGAAAATATGCCAGTTCCTTTCAATATTATATAATGGATAATTATATTGTCTCTGAAGCCAGAGCTAAGACATACATATCTTCTTAATTGCACTCTTTTAGCATTACTTTATTATACAATTAACAAATAGGTCATTTTTTTATATGATATACTATTTTTCCTAGACGGGAAATCTATTACATGCGGATTTGAACACATCTGCCACGCAAACACACTTAGAAACAATATACTATCAGACATCTGCAACCTCAGCACTAGAAACATGTTGCTTGGGGCAAAGTGTTTGACTTGACATAGAACATATTTTAACTTATATGTCAAAGACTCCTGTGAAGCAACAGCTAGCAGAGTATGGATTAAAGGTGATTTTTTTTCTATATTTCAGATATCTGCAAATTGCACCACCTGCAGCACAGTTCTTTAGGTGCCACTGCAGTCTTAGGAAATGGTCTAGTAAACTAGATAGACTAATACAAATATAGATGTTTGTAAGCCTTACCAGTTCAGCTGCAGAAGGCTTTATAATAAAGCCTTAACAACTACTAAACTACAGTGACAAAAGCTAATGAGGCTTCTGTGCTGCTTGTGGCCTATACATTGCTTTCAACAAAAAAGAATAAAAGGCAAATTTAAAGGGAAAGTTTACCCTCTAAACTGCCAGCTGTCCGACTGTCATAATGATCCACTGGCATTAATACTTTCTCAGTTACTAATCTTGTACACATAGGCAACAAGTGAAGTCCCAGCTCCTGATGGGTATACTTGTTCTAGTTTAGTGGCTTAGAAGTACTATTGTAAAGTCAGAAATTCAGTGTGATGGAAGGGCAGGGTATCTATCGTGCCCAAAAGGAAGTCAGTATTGCCAAGCTATGTATTTCTCTCTAAAAATGTTTCTCTAAAGCGAACCTTGTCACAAGAAAGAAACAACCAATAAATGCAAACTGGCTCCTTCCATAAAATTTACTTGTAAACACACTGCTACACAGTGCTATACATGATGCAATGTCTGCATGTAAATTGCTGTAAACCTCAGACATGAAAACTCAACAAATAACATCCTTCTATAGTGTGTACTAGTCTAAATTCACAGCACTGAGTGGTGTTCCTCTCTGATACCTCTGCTATCTTCATGACTCACTGATAGAACAATAAACATACACCTCAGCCTCCCAGGATATTGCCTGTCCCCCTCCAGCACACAACGGGTGACTCATAGACTTAGCTTTGTGTTTTTCTCCAAGAGCCTTTTAGAGAGGGGTGTGCCCCTTCCCTCCAATCAGATTTTAAGGAGCTCTGTGCTCTAGCTCTGCAGTGCATGAAGTCAAATCCCTGCGGCCGAGAAAAATCATTTGATCTGTGTGTTTTAGAACCATCTACATCTCTGTGTATCACCTGAGGCTAATTTCTTCAGTGGGTAAATGTAAGGGTTTACAAGCATTTTAAGCAATGGAGGCTCTGAGAACCACCTTGTGCACCTCACACAGTGGTCAAGGTTGCTTAGGCCTCAAATTGCTTTTCAGAATAAACTGGGGAAATATTGAATCTTAAAATATTAGCCTTACATCTGCATGCTGCAGGTAGTCCTGAATAAAGGGACTATAAGAGTGCCCATCAGCCACGAGTATACAATTAAGTTACCAATGTGTACCCTGTGGTAAATGACTTGTAGTTAGGTGTTAACTTTCAGTGACAGATGTACTTGAAGGTCTCTTTCCAAAATGTATTGCAAGAATTAAAGGCGTAACTAACAACAAGAGTTCTCCCAGACATTGAGATGAATAACTGCAGTAGTAGGTTTCTGCATGATTGTTGTACCACTTTAGTTTCCTTTAAATGCTTAAAAAAAAAAAAAAATCTGTAAAATTATCCCTATTACCACATATGCGCACATGCAAATTATACATTTATAAGGGTGAGAGAACAGCTGAAAAAATACCTATAACCATTTAGATATCCTCAGTTGCAACTTACACAAATACACGTTACAGTGGAAATATTCTTGATAATGAATATGTGGTGACACTGCTCAAGTTGAAAAGTAACGTATCACAAATTTGTATAATAGTTACCACATTTTCATATTTTTCCCCTTGCCTACTGCATTTTTGTAGGGCTCTCTTTACTATGAACACATTGTCAAACATTTTGTTGCATTTTCATTTTCGTTGTAGTGCATTCAGTATATCAAAGTCCTGTATGTTGTGTTTTGAATGCATTCACCTGCTTGTTCAACATTCTACATGACCATTATATTGCAGACAAATAGTAGTATGATTAAATAACATTGTTTTCATAATTAATTGTTATTTTGTCTCTTTAAATGTAATTTTTATGATATGAACTAGCAAATGTGTGCCAATTTCCTGAATTGGTTTTTCGGAACTTATGGCTTGGGAAAATATGAATTCTACTACTTGTTAGTGCTATGCACAATAATGCATGACTGGCAGTGCATTGCTATTCATTTTGAATTGCATCCCTATTCACCTTGCAAACCCACCGCAATTCACATTGCACAATGTGCATGTCCAGTTTTTGGTATATTGTGGTCCGTTGGAAACTTATTCAAATGTGTGTGCTCAGTCTATACATTCTTTTTTTTTTAACATGTATATGCATATGCTTTCATTTGGTGTGCTCTCTGAGTATGCTCTGTGTTTTACCTATGTGCTTTAACCTGTGCGGTATGATTGTGCATACTTTGTCTATGCATCCTCTGTCTGCATATACTCTGCATATGTTCTGTTTGAAGTTTCTGCACATGCTCCAGCTGTGCATTTAGTGTCTGTGCATGCTCTGGCTGTGCATGTTTTTTCTGTGTAATGACTGCCTGAGTACTCTATTGGTGTTTGCTCTGTCTGTGTGTTGTCTGTATGGGTGCAATAAATGTGGGTATAGGTGCAATAATTGTGGGTGGCCCATTTGTCATCACTTTCTGGGTATGCAAACTTGAGAGACAATGCAGAAGAAAATCAACGAGAATATAACAAAGAATAGATGGATGAAAGAAGAAAAACTTAAATTAGAATATTACCTGTAGATTATCCTTGTCATATTCTTTCATAAAAGAGTGCGTGAATAACCTTATAATAGTACTCGCTTTAACATTTCCATCACTTTCAAGTAGTGCATTCCTAAGTATTACAAAAAAGTATTACAAAAAGTTTTAATTGTCAATTAAACAGTAATGGTAATATCATAAAAGACATACGATGCATTTCTTTCAGTAAACAAAATGCAGCATTCAAAAGCAAATACTGTATACGTGCACTTCGTGACTTTATATGACAGGTACATGTGAAAGCTTGAAATGACTGCTAGAAGTTGAACATGAGTACTAATAAGGATATGCACATAGGTGTGTGTATATAACCGTACTTGACTGTCAGTGATTACTGAGGTCCTAGTGAAGAGACGGGAAGTCAATATTGTCACTAATCAATATTTGACAATAGTCAACAACTGACAATGTTGTGTTGTTATGAAAAAACACTTTTCAATGTTTAATGCTGCAGTTGGTCATAGATGGATCGCAATTCAATTGACTTTTGTCGAATGGCAATGTTGGAAAATTTTCATATGATCAGCGGCTGCAGTGTGTGGGGGGTAGGGTAATCCCTCCAACCACATTCCTTGTCCATCCACCTTTTATGGTTTCATGCACACTGGGGCTCTTCTAAACAATTTTTTCCTAGCAAGGGGAAAGCAAGTACAAAACACTCCTATGCTGAGTTTTTTCAAATGCGTTACGGTGCATCAAACACTTGGGGCATTTATTAATTTAATTGGCCGGGCTATTAATGTATTCTAGATACTGAAATGAAAAAAGGCTTAAGCACTAAAACGCCCCTAGCATTAACATGTGTTAACATTCGTTTATGTGTGTCAGCTGTTTTTTTTTCTGCCAAAACGCTCCTCTCTTGAACACACAAGTGATGGAGTTTTTCTAATCTGCCTCTAAACTCCTGTAAATGTCTATAGTGTGCATAAACACACAGGTTTACATGGAAGGGAGTTTAGAGGCAGATCAAAAAATAATCTCAATTGTAAAAGCAGCATTTTTTAGCTCAAGTGTGCATGAGGCCTATTAGTCATCAGAGAGATAGGACTAATGCCCTATGATTTGGTATTTTCTGTTGAAATAGAAATGCAGGGTATGAAAAAAACATACATACTCAACTAGGTGGATGCAGCATAAATCCATTGCTGCATCTGTCCCCTTGCCGCCTCTACACAGAGAACCGAGTGATCAAAGACTGCTTATCGCGCAGTTCTCGGTCTTCAGTGAGCAGGGAGCAGGTGACTGTCAGTTACTGGCTCTCTGCTCTGCCCCGCCAGTGTTCACTGGAGTGTTGGGCTGTGCAGGGGCAGAAGAAGTTGTCTCAGGCTCTCAGCAAGGCGCTAAGTGGCTAAGCCAACTGCCGGTCAGGGATCTGAGCGGATCCCAACATTAAAGCTGGAATCTCTCCAGAGCCTGGACGTGCTGAGTGACATCTGTCATCAGCGGGCTTTAGCCCACTGTCAGCTGAATATGGGTCACAAGAGTATAGAACAAAGTGCACTGTGATCCCCAGGAGAAGTAGGGCCAAAAGTGTTTTCTTTTGAGTCTATACGCTCAAGCCACAAGAGAATAATGCATGCAGATTGTACAAAGTTTTTTTCTTACAACAAAAAATAAAATGACTTTTTTATTCACTAAAGCTACTGCTGCACAGTTTAGCTGGTATTAATGCACACAAATCATTTAACCACTTCAGGTCCGGACACTTACCTCCTTCCTGTCCATGCCAATTTTCAGCTTTCAGTGCTATCACACTTTGAATGACAACTGCGCGGTCATGCAACACTGTACCCATATGAATGTTTTAGCATTTTTTTGAGACAGATAAAACTTTATTTTGGTGGTATTTATTCACCACTGGGATTTTTATTTTTTTTGCTATATAAATGAAAAAGTCCAAAAATTTTTAAAAAGTGCAAATATATAATCTTTCTTCATAAATCTTGGCCAAAATTTATTCGGTTATCTTTTTAGTAAAAAAAAAACCCAAATTAGTTTATAACCAAAAATTATAATTTTTCTAAATTTTGTTTTTACATTTTTTTTTTTTAATATTATTATGGGTTTTTTTTTTTACATACTGTCACCCTAGTAGTACAGTGTCACCATAGTGACACTGTACTAATTGTGAGGGGGTGATGAAATTTTTTTTTTGTTTTTTTACACTGATTGCTGTAAAAGCAATCATTTCTTCTCTCTGGCTGCATTCTTGCAGCCATTGAGAAAAACTGTGTGAGCTGTGATTGGTCACAGCTTGTCACATGGTACAAGGCTGTTGTGAATAGCCTTGTACCATGTGACCTCTGTGATCATTCACAGATTTCACACATAGTAATTAATGATGTCAGAAGTGACATCTTGCTTACTACTCTTCATGTGATCACTGATTGGCCAATCAGTGATCACATGATTGGGACATCACGCGTATAGACCATAGATGTCAATTCACAATGATTCATCCATAGATTATGGTGCTTAAACTAATAAACACAGATTTAAAAGCAATGCCCACATATTTTTAAATGACCATTCATTTGCTGAAAAAATGGTTAAAATCATACCGGAAACAGCAGACAGACCTTAAAACTGCTAAATACACAGATTACTGTATATAAAGTTATGATGTATATAATGTTTTACCTCCCAAACATTGGTACTTCCATTCATCCAGTCTTAAGATTTACACAGCCACACAGTACATCCCTCTCTTGCAGGGTAGGAGACATGATTTTTTCTACTGCACTTTGGAAAATATACTGATTCGTGAAATACTAAAATTTAACTAAAGCCTTTGTCTGGGCCCTTTATTTTAATGTTAACTTTGGGACAAATGTGTTTCCCTGTGCAGTCTTGTAGTTAGTAGCTGCATAAACATGGGGCCCTCCCACAAGACGGCAGTAATAAGCATCCCAGGAATCTTATGACCACAATATATTTTATATATAAAAAAAAAGAAGTTGCTTTTTGTAAAAAAAAAAAAACATAATCAAGGATTGAAAAAAAAGCCCTTTTAAAACCTATATATACTTTAATTTACCAAAAAAAAACACTTTTGATTGCTAATAGATTGATAATTCATATTGAAATTAGCAACTTCTTTTTGATGTGAAAATGATGGTCCTGGCTTCAACTTTTAAAACAGCAGTGTAGGCAATATTTAAGATAACTATTGCTGGATAGGAAAACATGTAACTGCAGTAGAGAACCAACAAAGGCATTTTTGCCTTCAGAAAATCAAGTGTCCTTATAAAATCATGCACCAGACAAACCATTGATAGTTTTGTCTCAATATAATCTGCTGTAAATGACCTGTATGCACATTATTTTCAAGAAGCCATGAAAGGAAGGTCAAGTCCAAGAAGTCTGTATTATAAATACACTGTTCAAAAAAATTAAAGAAAACACTTTGAAAACACATCAGATCTCAATGAGGAAAAATATCATGCTGGGTATCTATACTGATATGGACTGGGTAATGTGTTAGGAACATAAGGATGCCCCATCGTATGATGGAAATCAAAATTATCAACCTACAAAGGACTAGATTCAAAGACAACCCGAAAATAAAAGTGAAATAATGATGCAGCAGGCTAGTCCATTTTGCTGAAATTTTATTGCAGCAACTCAATATGGTACTCAGTAGTTTCTATGGCCCCCACGTGCTTGTATGCATGCCTGACAACGTCGGTGCATGCTCCTAATGAGAAAATGGGTGCTGTCCTGGGGTATTTCCTCCCAAATCTGGACCAGGGCATCACTGAGATCCTGGACAGTCTGAGGTGCAATTTGGTGGCGTGGGATGGACCAAAACATGATATCCCAGAGGTGTTCTATTTGATTCAGGTCAGGTGAGTGTGGGGGCCATTCAATGGTATCAATTCCTTCATCCTCCAGAAACTGCCTGCATACTCTCGCCACATGAGGCCAGGCATTGTCATGCACCAGGAGGAACCCAGGACCCACTGCACCAGCGTAGGGTCTGACAATGGGTCCAAGGATTTCATCCTGATACCTAATGGCAGTCAGGGTGCCATTGTCTAGTCTGTAGAAGTCTGTGCGTCCCTCCATGGATATGCCTCCCCAGACCATCACTGACCCACCACCAAAACAGTCATGCTGAACAATGTTACAGGCAGCATAACATTCTCCACGGCTTCTCCAGACCCTTTCACATCTGTCACATGCACTCAGGGTTAACCTGCTAATCTGTGAAAAGCACAGGGTGCCAGTGGCGGACCTGACAATTCTGTTGTTCAATGGCAAGTGCCAATTGAGCTCTATGGTGCCGAGCAGTGAGCACAGAGCTCACTAAAGGATGCCAGCACTCAGGTCACCCTTATGAAGTCTGTTTCTGATTGTTTAGTCAGAGACATTCACACCAGTGACCTGCTGGAGGTCAATTTGCAGGGCTCTGGCTTTGGTCATCTTGTTCCTCCTTGCACAAAGAAGCAGATACCGGTCCTGCTGAAGGACCTCCTATGACCCTGTCCAGCTCTCCTAGAGTAACTGCCTTTCTCCTGTAATCTCCTCCGTGCTCTTGAGACTGTTCTGGGAGACACAGCAAACTTTCTGGCAATGGCAAGTATTGATGTGCCATCCTGGAGGAGTTGGACTGCCTGTGCAACCTCTGTAGGGTCCAGGTATCGCCTCATGCTACTAGTAGTGACACTGACCCTAGCCAAATGTAAAATTAGTGAAAAACACGGCAGAAAAGATGAGTAGGGAAAAAAATGTCAGTGGCCTCCACCTGTAAAACCATTCCTGTTTTTGGGGGATGTCTCATTGTTTCCCATCTAGTGCACCTATTGTTAATTTAATTTACACCAAAGCAGCTGAAACTGATTAACAGCCCCTGTCTGCTACTTAACCACATGCCCTCCTGAGGATTTACGCCCCTTCCTGACCAGGCCATTTTTTGTGTTACAGCGCTTACTTTAACTGACAATTGTGCGATCATGCAACGCTGCACCCAAATTACATTTTACATCCTTTTTTTCCCACTATTTGAGCTTTCTTTCGGTGGTGTTTGATCGCCTGTATGGTTTTTTAATTTTTTTGCGCTATAAATAAAGG